CTCTGGTGAGAACGAAACACACATGCATATGAGCTACACAATATGAGTGGTGTATTTTGGCAATTTTGCATTTGCACTTAAACTGGTGGTTCTCTTTAAGCATTATTTATTTTTATTTATTGTTATTGTAATTACTTAATTTGCTATAGGGCACATGCGCTCTCCAGAGAGAGCGAGAGCGAGAGTGAGAGAGAGGGGAAAGAGAGAGCGAGTGAGCTGCCAGCTCCAAGACTCAAACCGCAATCAGCCATGTGGGAGTCCAGGGCTAACTCGTATTTCTTAATATAATGATAGGCAGTAAAATCCACACTAATAACTAAACATTCTAGTTTATCTCTACTTAGTACAACATTAAATAGCAAATAAAAACATCAGGACGAATTGAGAGATCCTGAGAAGAAGGATGCGTTCTACTGTCATACCTTGAACAGCATTTTCCCCACTACTTTTTTGTCCTTTTTGCTATAGGGCTTGTGTGCTCGCTGGAGAGACAGAGAGGCAGAAAGCAAGAAATCCCCCCCGCAGGGAGATGGCCACACTGCAATCCCTTCTCCTCTCGAGATTTTGGGCACATATACACATACACCCAGCATGAGTTTTAAGTCTCTGGGTCCAGGGCTGGAACCACAGTTGACGACATGGGAGTCCAACAATGTAACCATTACGCCATCTGCTAGTCCCTCCCCTACTTTTTTTTTTTTTTTTGAGAGATTTTCACTATAGGGCGCATGTGCTCGCCAGACAGACAGAGAGAGACATAGAGACAGAAAGCGAGAAATCACCCCCCAGGGGGGATGGTCACGCCGCAATCCCTTCTCCTCCATTCTCCTCTCAGGATCTTGGGCATGCACGCACACACGCCTGGCGTGAGTTTTAAGCCACCGGGTCCGGGACGCGAACCGCGGTCGACTACGTGGGAGTCCAGCGACATAGCCATTACGCTAACTGCTGGTTCCCCCTCCACTACTTTTTGAACAAAACACCAAACGTTTTGATTTTGCACTAGACTCTGAAAGTGACGGAGATGGCCTTGTGTGGACCACGGTGCTGGGAACATGCACAAGGAGACTTTCTGCGCTGGCCTCACCCCTAAGCTCCTCGTAAGCAGCTATGCAAAAGCGGCTGCTGAGCGAGGGTTCTCTAAGTGCCTGTAGTGAACATCATTTGCTTTTTCAGCATCCATTTCTTTCCTTCTTTCTCTTTCTTTTCTTTTTCTTTTTTTAAGAGAATTTTGCTATAATGTGCATGTGCTGATGGGAGAGAGAGAGAGAAAGACAGAAAGCGAGAAATCACCCCCCACCCCCTGGCGCGGGGATGGCTATGCAGCAATTCCTTCTCCTCCATTCTCTTCCTGGGATCGTGGGCGTGTGTGCGTGCATACACATATACACACACGTGTGTGACATGCACTCAGTTATTGAGTTAAAATACTCTTTGAATTTTTGTAACTTGTACAAGTAAGACAGCAATGGAGATGTAGCAGGATAATTTCTTGAGATTTTAAATGTAGAAATTTTTCTTCTCTTTGTTTACTCCTTTCTATTCCCGTTCAGGGAGAGAGCGACTTGTCTGTTTTCTTTCTTTGGGGAGATATGCAGATTGTCTGGAGGACACTTTCTTTCTTTCTTTCTTTCTTTCTTTCTTTCTTTCTTTCTTTCTTTCTTTCTTTCTTTTTTGCTTTCTTTCTTTTTTTCTTTTTTTTTTTTTTTTTTGAGAGGTTTTTGCTATAGGGTGCGTGCAATCCCCAGAAAGAGACAGAAAGCGAGAGATCACCCCCCAGGCCTGCAAGGCACTTTTAGTTGACTTGCATAGTATTTTAAAAACTGGACAGTTCCCCTCAACCATCTAGACTTCTGAGACCTCCAGGACAGTCAGATTCTCTGATAGCTCTGGTCCTGAAGGCCCCGCGCAGTGGTGCTTGGCTGGTGTGGAGTAGCAGCTCACGTCCTCAGGTGGACCACAGCAGTCTCCAGTTTGAGTCTTACCACTCCTGCTTATCCCCTGCTTATTTTATTCATGCATGACAGTATCCACCCGGCCCCAGAGCTGTTTAATTTCCCAGTTCCCGAAGTCCACAGGAGAAATGGGCTTTGACAAGAGAGGGGAAAGGCTGGAGGAGAAGTATTAAAGGTGGAAGTATTTTCCATGACTTAAGAAATTCCACCCGAAGTCCACAGGAGAAATGGGCTTTGACAAGAGAGGGGGAAGGCAGAAGGAGAAGTATTAAAGGTGGAAGTATTTTCCATGACTTAAGAAATTCCATAGGCTGGGGCAGAAGGAAGAAATCCTTGGGTCTCAGACGACTCTGAGGCCTGCTCCCCGGGAAAACCATAAATAAAGCGGGACATTTCAGAGGACCTGAGAGACGAAGGCCATTGATCACTGCAGAGGGGGTGCATTCTGGGCAGGGAAAGGAAGGGGGGCTGCTTAACCAGAGATTTTTGGCCCCGTCACTGGCTTGGAAGAAGCAGAGTGAGCGCACCTGAAGACAGCGGGCGCCAGCAATGGTCTTCTCAGCTTCACCTGCCACACACAGATGGCCAGGCTCTGCCGGCGGCCTCTCCCCTGGGCTGGCTCGTCCTGGCACGTGTGCTTCAGTGAGCAGGCGATGAGGGTCACAGTGGTGGTTTTAGCCAAAACCAAGAGCAATCAGCAATGAATGCTTCTTCTACCCAGCAGATTGAGGCTTGGGTTCAAAATCAATTCATGGAAAATAAAGAGGTATGCTATATATATACACACTTATATTATTTAATTATTTAATTATATTATTATTATTACATATCTGAGTTTGGGGAGAGAGCTATCCAATGCGGGTTACTTCGTAACCCTTCTGGGACTTGGTGTTTCATAATCCTTCTGGGACTTGGTGTCTTCATCTGCAGCTGGAGTGCCTGGCACCCGCTCAGCATGGGGGGACTCTGAGGGTTGATGACATACCAGAACTGAAAGCAGCGGCCTGAAGTCACCTGATGAGCAGGACTCCTTTCCTCCTGGTCCTGATTCATATTCTCATCCCTATGAAGTCATTATGCCACAGTCACATGGTCTGTATGTCTTCATTCGGTGTGGGTACATCATCCGTGGTGTTTGCCATGACTGTCAAACTCAGTGCTTGCACAGTGCTTTTCTGAACTGACAACACGTGCTAACAGATGGATGGAATTTCTACCGTTAGTCTTGAGCAACGCGCTGGGTACTTTAAAGATGTTACTTCATTTACTCTTAAAACTGCTAATTTTCTTTGTGTTAATTTTCGGAGTTCCTGTTATCATATGGGGGAACCGAACCGAATCACCTGGTTCTTTGGGTCTAGAACTCTAAGATCAGGACAGGCATGCAGGTGGGTAGTTGCCTAAGGACAACCGGAGTTGGTGGTGGGGTTAGGTGTTACTTTTATCTTGGGGTCTTGCCCTGCATCTTTAGTAAGCGAGGTCTGTCATTGTAGCTGGTTTATTTGAATTTGCAGCTTTCATCTGTGCTTGTGTATTTTCCCTTCAGGTAAGGGAAATGTTATTCAATTATGCATGCCCAGTGTGGACTTTGAAAGTATGAGCATCCCCAGAGAGATGATTTTTCCTGTTAGTTCCTTGTCTCAGTGGCAATTAGGAGGTTGGCTGAGCATCTTGGTGGGAAAACCTGGCCTCTCTTGGCACCTGGGTGCTAGCTGGGGTCCCTGGTAGTGGTGACTGATGTGTCGATGTCCCCTCTGTTGGCTGTTGGAACTCCCTGCTCGTGGTGTCTGCCTTTTTTAAAACTTTTTTTAGAGGTTTTTGCTATAGGGTGGGAGCGCTCACCAGACACAGAGAGACAGACAGAGAGATAGAAAGCGAGAAATCACCCCCCAGGTGGGATGGCCACGCCGCAATCCCTTCTCTTCCATTCTCCTCTCGGGATCTTGGGCACGCACGCACACACGCCCGGCGTGAGTTTAAGCCACCGGGTCCGGGACGCAAACCGCAGTCGACTACGTGGGAGTCCAGCGACACAGCCATTACACCAACTGCTGGTCCCCGTGGTGTCTGCCTTTAACAGTATTTCCTTTTTGGCACGGCAGGGAGCTTTTTCTGCTGACACTGAGTAAGCGCTTCTCCATCTTCTGGCCCATCTTCCTTTGGTGAGCCACGGCCTCTAGTGAGAATTTAAGCAAACTCGTTTTTATTGTATTTACTTGTAGGCTGAGTGTCCTCCCATGATGGGTGTGAGTGGGCCTTTCTCCACGCCTGGTTCCTGGTTCTGCACTGATCTGGTCCTCTGCTGGACACCCAGGAGGACTGCAGAATGGTGTCCTCTTGAAGTTGGCATGGTCATGTGACTTGCTGTGGCCAGGGAAGTAAGTTGTGGTTGTCACTCAGAGGTGGAGACATTAAGTGACAGGTGCCCAGCTCTCCAGGTAATGATCCCAGCATCCTATGCCGGCACAGAGAGCAGTAGGCCTTCGGGACTGTGGAAGATTTCGGGTTATCGTGAAATGAACTTCTTTTTTTTTGCATTAGATTTTAATCTTTAATATCTAACATTTTTCCTTTAGGAAACTTTTCCCCAGAAACAAGAATAGAATGCTAATTACATAAAAATATACACATACCAAAAATAGTTCTCCATCTCCCCAGGGAAAAACAATCCAAGTGTAACTTCTAGAACAGTTAAGTTTTTTGGTTTAATTATAATTAAAGTCATGGTCATCTCATTTATTAGCTCTGTAACTTACATATTTAAATTAAAGAATGTTGGGACCAGCAGTTGGCGTAATGGCTATGTCGCTGGACTCCCACGTAGTCGACCATGGTTCGAGTCCCAGACCTGGTGGCTTAAACTCACGCCGGGCGTGTGTGCGTGCATGCCCAAGGTCCCGAGAGGAGAATGAAGGAAAAGGGATTGCGGCGTGACCATCCCCCCTGGGGGCTGATTTCTTGCTTTCTGTCTCTCGGTCTCTGTCTGGCGAGCGCACGTGTCCTATAGCAAAAACCTCTCCAAAAAAAGAAAAAAAAATTAAAGAATGTTATTAGACAACCATCACAATTTACAAATGCAGGGTACCATTACTGAGTAAATAGATTCCTCTCGAGTGGATGTGTCCCTTCTCCCACCAACTAAAGCAGCAGCCATGAAGTTAGTTTATTAGTACATGATATACCGCCTAAAATGCTAATTCTCTTCTCCACCTTTGTGTTTATCTTGTGTATATGTGTGAGTTTGGTTAGAAGACACCAACAATCCCTTTAACCATCAACAGCAAGATGAGCTAGGCTTGGGCTTTCGATGAAGACTGACCACGTCTGAATCAAGTACACTGCCCTCGGTAGCAAGGACTCTTCGAACCACTTGCTGAAAGGCTGCTGCCACATTCGTGGCGTCTTTTGCACTTGTTTCAAAGTCAGGGTAGTCGCCGCTGTCTCTGCACCAGGCTTCGGCTTCTTCTGTAGACACCTGCCTTCGCTTATGTCAATCTTATGTCCCCCAAATCACAACAGGGAAGTTTTCGGGCTCCTTCACATCTGCATAATATCTGAATTCTTTCTTCCAGTTACTCAAGTTCTGGAAGCTTTGCGACTCATCGACGCTAAAAGTAAGCAGGCAACAGTCAGAACCTCTGAAAAACGGTGTCCTGGGGCTGCGGAGTCGCTCTTGACCGGCTGTGTCCCAAATCTGCATGGCGACAAGATGTCCACCCACCTCTAAATCTGTATTTAAAAATCCCACACCTATTGTATGGAAGAACCGGGTATCAAACTTATTAGTTACGTATCTCCAAGGAGAATTGCTTTAAAAAGTGAGGATTTCCCGGCCGTTATTCATCTCAAGAGCTTGGATGTCAGAACCCTTACTTGGTCAGTTCGAGTATTGTTATCCCCGAGGGTTGTTGAGAAGATTCACTCAGTCGATGGGGGAAAAGAATTTCATCACGGAGCCAGACTCATTACTGTAGTCAAGAAGCCGTGAGGGCTGCACAGAGGACGTCCTGGGAGGTCCGGGCCAGCCTGTCCCGGTGCAACGAAGATGAAGAAGGAACAGGGACCAGCGGACAGGAGGCAGCAGCAGTGGCGCTGCCCGGCTTTAACTCCAGCTGCTCCGGTCCAGCGTGGAGGGAACAACATGGCGGCGGGCCGGGGCCATGACGTGAACTTCTGATGTAATGCCACCGAGAACTTGTTTCTTGCAAAGGTACCCACTTATATATATATTTTGAATTGTCACAGGGTGCATGTGCTCACCAGAGAGAGATGGAGAAATGGAGAGAAGTAAAGGGAGGGAGAAGGCACCCCCAGCCCCCCAGTGGAGTGTGGTCATGCCGCAATTCCTTCTCCTGCATTTCTTCATCCTGTGGGGGCTTTATGCACCCACATGTGCCAGGGGTATCTTTCAAGCTTTGCAGGACTGATCTTGAACCTCGGTCAATGATGTGGATTCATGCCATTAACTGCTAGGCTACGGAGCCAGCCTTAACAATTTAGAAGAGATTTTAGGACGGGTTGTATACTAATGTATCCAGAGTATGTATCATAAGGGTATTCCAAAAAATGACTGACATTTGGGAAGGGGGCAGGTTTAATATCTAATAGTCGAAAGTTATCAAATGTCCATTCAAGTCTTGGTTTCATGATAGAAACGGATTGTCTTCAGCTTGTTTTCGTATTGGGTCGTAGGAAATGTCGTGCACAGTTTTGCATAGAAAACCTGCAGCATGACTTTCCAGATGATTCCGTATATTCTGGTGAAGCTGGATGTAGGTTTCTGGTTGACAATGGGAATAAGTAATGGCAGGGAAAAGTGGGACTGACTGTTGTTGAAGGTCTGCGGGAAGAAGAGAGGCTGCGGGTG